GTGTCTTTGACAGTGTTTCTGTCGTTCCCGTCTTTACCTGTAGAGGTCAGTGTTTCTGTAGTTTGTGTCTTTGCCTGTAAAGAACAGTATTTCTGTAGTTCCCGTCTTTACTAGGGCTGGTCCGAATAGCAATTTCTGATCTCCGGACATTCGGTCCCAATTAATGACGAATATCCCGAATATTTGGGGGTGCAGCGCGGTGTTGGCGAGTGAGCATTTTTTCTGACGGGGGGTGTGGGGGGGACATATGGTGAGCTCAGGCTCTGACGGGCTAGAGTGGGCGTGACGCACAGGCCGCATATGGCTACTAAGACCAGTTTCTGTGTTTGGGTATTCTAGTTTGGCTAGTTGGCTATTCGGGTCCAGCCCTGGTCTTTACCTGTAAAGGACAGTGCTTCTGTAGTTCCCGTCTTTGCCTGTAGAGGACAGTATTTCTTTAGTTTGTGTCTTTACCTGTAGAGGACAGTGTTTGTCCACATCATATTTACGGGAAGATATGAATCCAATATTATCTGCTTTAATAAATCTGGGATTTCTGTTTCTGTGAAGCACTTCACAACATTGTTAGAAAAGTGTTATATCAATAATTCCTGAATTTCCCTCTGGGATTAATAAAGTCAGTCTAAGTCTAATTAAGTTTATTATTAAGTGTTCAGTTTGAAGTGAACCTCATAGTTTCTCATTTCCACTATGATCTGTAATGAAGCTGTTGGTCTGAACTCTAGCTTCTGTGTATTGTGTTAAACTGACGTCACAAAAGTTATAATCATTCAAGTTCATATTTTATTTAACATAAATCATATTGCAGTCAATGTGAACAGCTGGGGTTTCAATATACACAATAGAATCGTAACATTTTAAGCCCCTCCCCCTCTGACCCCACCCACAACAACCCCCCCAAATGAAAATCAAATGCTGCCCTCCCCAGTAGCCCCACCCACATCCCCTTTAAACAAACACACAACCCCCCCTCCCCCCCACCCCCACAACAGCCCTGCACACCTGACACAATGCTCCGCCCACCATCGCTGTGTGTGATTTGTGTTTGTGTGTGTGTGTGTTACCTAGCAGCAAACTCCAAACTGGCATGTTTCCACTCCTTAGTCGCCACCTAAACAAATCCACCCTGAGCTCTGGCTTTGAAGAATAAAAGATGCCTTTTGGGTCTCATAAGCCCCTCCCACAGCATTAAGCCCCTCCCTCCACACAGACACTGTGACATCACCACCTGTAAAGTCACTGCAGGCTGAGAATTGCTGATGTCATACTGTGAGAAACTTTTAAGGCATGTCTGCTCTTTTAAGCCCCTCCCTCTCCAGGAATCCCCTCCCACCCTGACTCAGAAGCCCCGCCCTGCAGAAACATTTATGGAGCTTCTGCCACTAACGAGCTCCTCTGCCTCTGACCAGCCCCTCATAAGCTCCTCCCCCAGTGCTGACATCATCACAGACCTGTCGATCTCCCGCTATTAGAGAATTTTTTAAGGCGCATCTGCTTCCTTGGTAGTTTACAAGCTCTTCCCTCCCTAGAGCGACTATCAGGTTTTCCAGGCAACAGTCAGAGGTGGCGTGCAGAGTTTGGAGTTTGCTGCTGCTGACTGATGTGTCACGGATGGATGAGGGAGGGGGCGTGTCCTTCTGACCGTGTCGTCGCCACGCAGAATTAAAAATAATAATAAAAAAAATAATAATCACGTGGGCATCATCATCATCATCATCATCACCACCGTCAGCGCTGTGGCGTTCACCGAATCAACCGAGCAACATTCACTGACCACCCACACCGGTCTCCCCCTCCTCCCCTCCCTCCCCCTGTCCATCATCATCATCATCGTGATCGTCATCCTCGGCAGCGGTTTGCTGTCGGCCATCTTTGAGTCCAGTCAGGTGTGTGTTGTCGGCGTCCCCCTGTGGTGTGTAAACGGCTGAATGCTGCGTCTTGGAAGTAAAACAGAGAAACATGGGAGGAGGAAGGGGGAGGAGGGGGAGGCAGAGGGGGGAGGATGGGGAGGAGGGGAGGGTGGGGGTTCTTCTTCTTTTGTTTTAAAACAGAAAAGCGTCTTCTGGCGTGCTGCTTCCTGTCGCTGCAGCTCCTGCTTCGGCCGACGAGCAGGACTGAGGAGGAAAAGGGGGAGGAGACGGGGGAGGAGGAGGAGGACAAGGTGAGGAGTGGAGGAAGGGGGAGGAGTTTGGAGAATTATGGGACGCCGAGTTATTTAAGACATCTCTCGAAGTAGGTGGCGCCGACGTAGCCGCCGCGCAGAGAGCGATGGACATTCTGCTCGAAGAGCCGCCGGTTCGTCTGGAGGACTTCTGCTGCCTCCTTGTTCAACGGATCCTCAGGGTTTGGCTCCTGCAGGGGAGGACGGGGGAGGAAACAGTCAGTTAATTACATCAATTAAGCACCAAAATGGCTGTTCCACTCTTCAAATCTCAAATGAGAGGAAGAAGAAATAAGAGAAGAAGTAGACAAAGAAGAATGAATTGGAGGAGGAGGAGTAGAAGAGGAGGAGGGGGAGGGAGGAGAAGAAAAGGTCGAAGAAAGATGAGATGGAAGTAAAGAGGAGCAAATTAACGAAGAAGAGGGAGAAGAGAAAGAAGAAGAAGATGAAAAAGCAGCAGCAGCAAATGAACCGAGTGTGTTTTGTGACGAACACTGGGACTCACTAGAAATAGATACTGTAGACCGTAGATGATGGAGTTTATTGTCAGAACAGGCTTCCAGTCCTCTCTGATGGAGGACAAGAAGAAGAGTCAGTGACATCAAATCACATCTGGACATCTTCATCACAACACCTGAGCTGCTCACCTTAAGATATTTAGGCAGACGTTTCCCTCCAGGTCGATGTTGGGGTGATACACCATCGTCTCACACTTTACCTTGGGGGGGTCGTGGGGGTAGCCCTGTCCTACCTGCAACACACACACCTCATGTTGAACCACCTCCTCCACTGAGGTTACTCTCTTCATGGATGGAAGTTACAGGAAGAAGCTGTTTCATTTATCACCACAGAAAATAAACTCCCCCCCCCCAGAAATGATGGAAAAGGTCCATTAAAAAGTGTGAAATTTGGAGCCACCTCTGTGTAATTCAAGGCCTTGTAATGCTGAAAATATTCACGGTATGAAGGAAAAACTTTGCTACATGAAATACACTGAAGTCACTGTAGATAAAGAATGAGCTGATTCTGGTGGTTTCTGGCTCTGGATGGGACGTCTGAACCCGAACTGTGTGATGCTGATTCACTTGAACTCTGCCTATCTTGGTCACTTCACACAAAGACCACTGAAGAAGGCCAGACAGCGTGTCTTCTACCTCAGACGCCTGAGAGACTTCAACCTAATGCTCACAGTGTTCAGGAACTTTTACACCTGCACCACTGACAGCATCCTGTGTGGGAGCATCACCACCTGGATGGGCAGCTGCACCAAGCAGGACTTCTTGGTCCTGAGGAGGGTGGTCCGTTCAGCTGAGCGGACTATCAGATCCACCCATCTACACCCAAAGATGCAGGTCAAGGACTGTGCAGAGCCTAGCCATTCTGGAAACTCTCTTTTCTCCCTGCCGCCATCAGGCCGACGCTATTGCTGCCTAAGGACGGCCACTGAGAGAATGAGGAAGAGCTTCTTCCCTCAGGCCGTCCGTTTGCTCAACTCTGAGCTTTAAAACCAGACTGTGCAATATACACGGGCACCTTTTACATATGCACCTTATGTACCATAACAGTGTTCCCTGTAGCTTTATTTATTTGATTATTTATGTGTATGTATATATAGTATATACACTTCTTTAACACTTGTTTTTATTCTATTTTTTCTTTTTCTTTTATTGAAACTGGAGGCTGGTACAAAATACACTGCACATTGTACTGTGTACAAATGTGTATGTTACAGATAAAGCTTATCTTGAATCTCTCTGTAGGTCTTCATAAATAACATTAGCCAACCTCTCATTAAAAGGTGTTTCTGTGACTGACAGCAGCTGAGATTCAGTTAACTAACTACCAACATGCTGCTAGTTGTGTTCAATCCTGATAAGTGACGACAAACCTGCCCTGGCATGAACATAAGTTTGTTCATCCTCTCTGGTGTTATTTCTCTCTACACTGATTATTATGGATGTGAATTTACTCTTCAGAGTCCACGTTTCTTCCCGTTGAACTGAACCTGCTCTGCTGCTCTTTAAACCTGAATGAAACCTTGATGCTGTCAGATGGAATCAGACAGTTTTCTACCCACAGCACAAACAGTCATTACTCTGTTCAGCAGGACTGTGCTGCTGCTGATGTGTTCTGGCCTCAAACACTGAGATGAAGCTGAAGGCGATCACAGACAGGTGACAGGTGTTTCTTACCTTAAAGCTGAAGACAAACTTTCCTCCTTTGTAAAAACCCTGTGAGGCAAACACAGAGACACATTTTATTCAGTCTGTCCTTCATCAGGTCTCTCCGGTCCTGGTTTTAATGCAGATAAACCAGCATTGATCTCTGTCTTAAAAATGAGTAAAGGCCACAAATTCCAACTTTACACTAAATCTGTGACTGAACAATTATTTTCATCAAGCTGCGGAACATTTTCTGGATGAATCAATCATTATCTAAAATGTCAGAAAATGTTGCAAAACGAGGATCAGTGTTTCTTCAGATGTTTTGTTTTGTCCAAAGATGTTCAGTTTTCTGTCATAGACGAGAAAAGACACCAGAAAATAATCACATTGAACGATGTGTAATCACAGAATTTACTCGTATCGCATCACATTTATTTATTTGTTATCACTTTGTGGTCATTTTGTTTCACTATTTGATCATTTTGCATCACTTCCTGGTTGTTATTTGTCACTTTTTGGTCGTTTTGTGTCACTTTTCATTTGTTTTGTTTCACTTTCAGGTAATTTTATGTCAATTTTGAAGCATTTTGCATCATTTTACATCTTTGTTTATTGTGTCTTGCTGCAGTTACGCCACAAATTGTGGCTGTTTTGAAGTTTTTAAAGAAAAGTTTTCTGTTTTTGTAGTTGTTCTTCCATCTATAAAGTTACTGAATCTCTTTTCTGGGTGAACTGGTTTGTGTTTGGTCTGTAAAATGGTGAAAAACGGGGATCAGTGTTTCCTCAGATGTCTTGTTTTGTCCAAAGATATTCAGTTTCCTGTCATTGAAGAAGAACTAAACCAGGAAATATTCACATTTACATCACGAATCAATGAATTTAGACTGTTTATTAGAAATGTCCTCAAATTGATTATCAAAATAGTTTGACTAATTTATTATTTAATAACTGATTGATTGATGGTTGCTGCTCTACTTCATTAACTTAAAAACATCATGGGGCATTGATGATCCGGTTTCTCCTTTAAGATGCTCAGTGATGCTTCTTTTTCCATCCAAAACTTGCTCTAAATAAAAAAGTTTTTACTGTTTCTGACTTGATGAGCAGCATCAGCACCAACCTCGTCTGGTGAGATGATGAGTCTGAAGTTGAGGAGGTCGTCGTCATCAGGGAAGTTGATCTCACACGTCTTTGGCAAGTTCAACTCATTGATGTCTGCAACACAAACAGACATAATCAGCTTACATTCATCCACGGCAACCAGACTGGTCTGAAACACTTTCTGCTGCAACGAAGAAAAATGAGGCTATGGGCTGTAATCTGGTTTATTATGAGCTTGTTTTGTGTCTCTCAGCGGTCATGTTGCATCTACTGGTGGTCACATGTTTTGTGATTTATTTCTCTTTTTTGTTGCTTTATGTCTACCTGTGCTTGTTTTGCTTCTCTTTTGGGAATTTGTCGTATTTTAATCCCCTTTTATAATTTCAAAAAGTTAATTATCTATCGTATGTGGAGCCTCCGTTCTTTCCCAATGTTGGTAACACCTGTGGACACTTGGAAACATGTTGGACACGATGATTCAAGGTTTTTTCCCCCATTTTTTGTCAAATAAATAATCAAAGATTTCTATGTCATTCTGTGTCATACTGACATCAGACATTTTGAAGTTATCTTTCCTTCTTCATGGTTGTTCTGTTTTCATAGAGGACTTTATATTGAAGTGAAAAATTAGACAGAAGCTAAAAACAGCCAGAAACTGCTGCTGGGAGTTCAGACCTGATTCATATTAAAATGTGAGGGAAGCTGCTGAAACACAAAAATCCCAAAGTAAGAGTGTTGGAACACAGAAATGTGAATAAAAACTATAATATTTCACTCATGATCAGAAAATGTTTTCTGCTGAATTTGGTCCACAAAGTTGCTGAAACATTTCTTCTTCTTGTGTACTTGTGGCTGATTAGAAGCTCCTCAGCAGGCAGAACCGCTGGCTGAGTGCAGCCTGTAAACACATTTTTTTTATCAGATCACTACATGTGGACCCATCAGAACCAGTTCAGTTAGTGTGAACTGATTTCTAAAAATATTGAACACAGGATCCAAAAATCGCTGCTCCTATTGTTCCAAACTGAATTAGATTGTTTTTTTTATCAAAGTCACTCAAACTGATCGCAGTAGTTGGCATTTAATATAATAGTTGACAAGTAACAGATTCATCAATAAGTCATTGCAGCTATCACCCAAGTTGTAGCAACAGGTGCTGTTCTGGGCTGGTTTAAGATTGGTTTTACTGTAGTAATAAACTGGGTTTTAGACTGGTTTTGGACTTGTTTCAGGCAGTTTTTTTTTAGTTTTTAACATAGTTTTGGAGTTGTTTTTTTTTGACAGTTTCAGGCTCCCTGTAGACTCGTGTTGGACTGACTTTGGCCTATAATAAAGTGGTTTAATACTAATGGTAGGGCTGCTTATAGACTTGTTCTGGACTGACTTTACACTATTTAGATACAATTTTTGGACTGGTTTTAGACTGACTGATTTTTTGGATTGTTGCTACACTAGTTTTAAAACAGTTTAGTTCTGACCTTAGACTGTTTTTATACTTCTGTCAGACTGGTTTGAGGCTGGTGTCAGAAATGTTTTGGACTGACTGATTTTAAACTGTTTTTACACCAGTTTCAGACTGGTTCTGGGCTGCTTTTATACTGGTTTTAAACTGGTTTTAGATTTGTTTCATACTGGTTTGGGACTGTTTATATACTAGTCTTACATAAGTTTTTAGACTGGTTGTAGACTGGTGTTAAAGAGATTTCAGATTGGTTATAGACTTGATAGACTGGTTTAGGATTGGTTTAAGAGTAATCATAGAATGGTTTATGGCTGGTTATAGATTGGTTAGGAACTGACTTTACACTGTTTTTATACTACTTTTAGGCTGGTTTGAGGACAGCTCCACAGATTCACCCTCCTCCTGTCACACCTGTCTGTTCCCAGGTGTGCTCTGGTCAGCTGATTCACCTGGTCAGTGCCTGCAGCTTTGTGTCCTCAGGTTATGAATAGTGAATCTCCTAAATCTCGCTGAGTTTCTGAGGAAGAGATCACTCCTGTCATCATGATGAATAACACAACTGTTCTGTGACACCTGAGCTAGCTGGTTAGCTGTCAGCAGGTGTGCTCCTGGCCTCAGTCACACCTTGTCAGGTGAAAAGAAGAAGTTTGTCTGCCTTTAGAAAATCAGACACAGAGCTGACACAGCAAGTTAGCTGGTTAAAGCTACCTGCTGTTTGCTAACTAGCATTTAAAACCCTGTTTAGGGGCTGTTAGTGCAGCTGGTTAGCAGTTAGCAGAGCACAACAGTTCCGCACTTGGTGTTGTTTGGTGTAGCTGTGTGCTAACATGTTAGCCTCAAACGGTCAGCTCCTGTCTGCGTTTTGTTTTCAAATACAGCAGCAGCTAGCCGCGTTAGCTATGGTTAGCAGCGTGCTAACTGTTAGCCTCAGAGTTCTAACAACAGCCGCTTTAACGGTTCATGTACCCGGTCAGTGGGGGGTCGTGTTCATCTCTGGTTTACTGGTAACTAGTCAGCCTGCCAGGCAACACAGCTAACCGGGCTGCCGGTGGTAACTAGCCTACCTTTCTGTATCCGGAGCTGGGCCGCGCTGGCTTTCTTCCCCCCGGCTCCGGTTCTGTTTCCTCCAGCAGATTCCTCGTCTTTCTTCTGCTGCTTCAGGGAAAAGAGCTTAATCATCTTCAGAGCTTTGATCACCTGCTGCCTGAACTCTGCGTCTCTGCGGGGAGCGGGCCGTCCGTGTGCCGGGCAATGTTGGCAGGTCAGAGCGGTCTATCAGCACCGGAGTGTGGATGGAGCCGGTGCGTCTCTACCGAGTACACTGAGCACTGAGGCTAACGGAGCTAGCTTAGCTGTTAGCATCAGGAGAGGCCGGGCAGGGGGAGGGGGGAGGGAGAGGGGGAGAGGGGGGTTCTGTCATTTATGTCAGAATATTATAAATACTGTCAGAAAAATAAACTGCGTCTGGATCGATTTTATACTTATTTAAATGGGGTTTAAACTGATTTTGAGCTAGATTAAGATTAGTTTTGGACTGGTTGGAGATTGGCTTAATGCTGTTGACTTGGTTTCTGACTGCTAACTTGACAGCTAATTTTGGAGCTAATTTTGGACTATTTTTAGAGTTGATTTAGACCTATTTTTGGATTTTTGGGGTTTTGGTTATTATGGTTCAGACCCTACAATATAATTTATGATAGAAATTTACATGACTAATTTAAAATAAAGGTTAAGACCCCACAGCAATGTATAAAACCAAATTTACCAAAAAAAAAAAAAAAAAAAAAAAAAAAAAAATCAATATTAAGGTTAAGATGATAAAATAGAATTTATTATGCAAATCTAGCTGACTAACTAAATATGAAGGTTAGGACAGTGCAATATGATATAAATTAAAAATGTAACATATAATATGAAGGTTAAGTATATTATTCACTATGCAAATTTCGCTACAACATGATTACGTACGCAATTGACATGTTTAATTCAAATATTAAGGCTAAAACTTTATGATATAACAACTTTACATTATCAATTTACTTGTTACAGTTAAAACTCTCCGATATTAGTTGTGCACATTTACCTGACGAATTAAATATTCAAGGAAGGATCTTACAATGACAGATACTAAATTAGCTGACTAATTTGGATGATTAATTAATTAATTACAAAATTTAGATAAAATAAGCCTTTATTATTTCCACAGTGGGGAAATTTGCAGCATTGCAACAGCAAAGGGGAAAGTATAAAATGTCGAAAAATCAAAACAAACAAAAAACACACCGGTTATTCCACATGCGAATATTCAGATAGTACAGATTATACATAGAAAAACATGTCCTGATATAAAACAAGCGTTTTGAAAAAAACGTTTGCTTTAAAAACGTTTTGATTTTAAATTTACTGTTTTAATGAAAGAAACCAATCCTTCACGTTCTTATTTATAAATTTATTTTACGTTTTGAAATGACACACTAAAAAATACAAGTCCCAAAATACCTTTCTGCACCGGCCGCGGCTGACGTCATGACGCAGGGGGCGGGGCGTGCACCTTTTCTCTGCCCATATTTTATTTACTACATTTATTTATTTATTTCATCGCCTGTGTGTCCCTCCGAGCGCAGCGCAGCGCCGTGTCTGCGGTCACCTGTGTGATGTAATCAGTGCGGGGGTTCAACGTGTCACGGCACCGACCCACGATACTGATCCGAGCCACGCACGGCACCGCAGCCGGACGCCACACAATAGAGCTAAGAACAATAGCCGCGCGCTGCGCTTTTTCTCTGACACGGTGTTGGTGTCGGTGCGACGGTGAGCAGGGCCTAGTTCCTGCGGAGGGTTACCACCGAGAAGCGGGTTAAGACGCTGCCGTTGTGTGTGTGTTTTGAAGCCCCCCGGGAAGAAGAGCGAGGAACACGTTGTAACGTGCTGAGGGGGGAGAGCGAGGCAGACTCACACTGGAGAGAGAGAGAGAGAGAGAGAGCGAGAGAGAGCGAGAGAGAGCGAGAGCGAGCGAGAGAGAGAGAGAGAGAGGGGAGTGAATGGGCAGCAGCAGCACTGCGCCCTTCACTTTATCGATATCGATCAGTTTGGTAATCGAGACATTTAGAGCCGCCGCGGGGCCGTTGGGCTAGCCCGGGAGCTAGCCGGAACACTGGGAGCTAACGCGATGGGACGCATGTGAAGCAGCCCGGGAGCTAACAGCAGCCTGGCGGAGAAAGAAACAAGGAAGCGGACGGCTAGCTGCGCTACACTGAAGCTAACGTTGGCTAACTGTTGGCTAATATTCATTCTAATGAGCGACCCAGGAGCATGCGACCTGATACGAAGAGGTGAGCCCGCAGTGTGCGTGTGTTGGTGAATGTGAGCGGCCGAGTTTTAGCTCCTCCACCTGCCTGGTGACTCTTTACGGAGCCCGGACATAATGAAAGAGGAAGCTTACTGCGGGGGGCGGACAGACGGACTGCTAGCCTGCTAACATGCTAACACGCTCACCTTTGCCAGCCAGGGGGCGGGTGGGGGGCAGAGTGTGTCCTCTCAGGTGTAAGTTTCTTTAATTAACACAACAAACGGCGTGTTACCGGTGCAGGTGTCGGTGTGTTTGCTCGCGCTCCCTGAATGTAGGTTACTGTGACGCGCTAGCTGTTAGCCGCTAGCTGCTACCTCCAAGTGGAGCCAGATGCGCATCTTCATTATTCCTGCTGCTAACTTGTGTTAGCTCGTTCTAACAGGGCTGCAACTAACCTTTAATTCACTATCGAATCATCTGCTGGTTATTTTATTTGATAACCGGCTGATAGTTTATCGAGTAAAATTATCAGAAACGATCACAAGAAGTGCAAATACGATTAAGCTCCAGGCTTTAGTTTGTGTTATTCTGATCATCAGGGTTAAATCAGAAGCTGTTTGACTTTCTGTCAAATCTGACAAAGAAATCAGTGACCTGAGGAGAATAATCTGGAATCTGTTTCTACTTCAGAATAACCTTTTATCAACACGGCTATCGATTAATGTTCCTGACCGTGTAATAACTGATTCATCGATTATTTGCTGCAGCTCTGAGTTTCATGGTTTGTTCATGTCACTCACAAGTTTACGGCTGAATGTGGTAGAGCTGCAATAATTAATGGGTTAGTTCTCAGATATTGAATTGATCACTGACAATCAGTTTGAGTACTTTTGTATTCAAAACAGTCTAAACTCTCTGATTTCAGCTTCTTCGATGTGAATATTTTCTGGTTTCTTTCCTCCTCTAGGACAGTACTGAACATCTTTGGACAAAACAAGACATTTGTTTGATTTTCTATCACATGATAAAGGCAGCAGCTCACCTGATGAGCAAAAATGTTTTCAGTTCATGGAGATCAATGAATTGATTCATGATTATTTGTTGCACCTCTGAGCTTCCTGGTTTGTCGTCATGAGGCTGCAACTGATTATTTTCATCTGTTTGGTCTCTAAAATGTTAAAAAATGTGGATCAGTGTTTCCTAAAGTGTCTTTTTCTTGTCCAAAGATGTGCAGTTTACATTGAAGAAGCTGCAACCAGAGAATCTAGACTGTTTTTAGCAGAATCATACTCAAATTGATGAATTCAATATCAGAATAGTTGATTCGTCATTTAACTCTTGCAGCTCTGGTGTTTACTGTCATGAACTAACAGTGTTTCTGATGAACACAACAAGATGTCAGAAGCTTTAAGGTTATATTAAAGCTGCTACAATCCAACAATTGGCAGAAAATTGATTAGCAGTTATTGATTTTTTGTTTTGGTTTGGTTTTTTGGAATTTTCTGAGCAAAAATGTAAAAAGCTGTTCAGATTTGAGATCTGATACTCTTCTTTGTTGAAAACTGAAAACCTTTTTGGACGATTAAACACAGGACTGCTGGCTGTGGAGACAGAAAACCATCAAATGTCTTGTTTGGTCCAAATATATTCAGTTTACAGTCATAGAGGAGGAAAGAAATCAGGAAATATTCACATTGAAGAAGCTGAAATGAGAGAATTTAGACATTTTTTATTTTTTAAAAAAATGACTCAAATGGATTTATTGAATATCAGAATAGTTGGAGATTAATTTAATAGCTGATCATCTTCATCATCATTTGTTTATCAGTCACAAGTTTGTTCCTCAGTCACTGATTATCCACACAGATTCCATTAACAACTTATACGGCTTTAAATCTATTTATAATATCATATACTATATATATAATATATTTTGTTACACCGGAAATTATCATTTATCAAGTAAAACTACTAAAATATCATGTAACTCCAGCCTGAAATCAAAATTCTTGACATAATTTTCTGTTTTTCTTTGTACATAAACAAAATCCTTTTCAGTTTTTGGACCTTCAGATACTTTTTGTCCAAAACTCAAATAGATTCAGTGGACTGGAATCATTTCAGATCACGTTTTTCTTCATCAATGTTAGTGTATTGATAAGACACAGCGATGTGAAATGAGCTTGATGCTTTTCAAACCTCTTTACTCGTTGGTATAAACCACATAGATACAGTATTGATCAATATATAGATTGATAGATGGATCAAATCAGAGCTGCAGCGACTGATTATTTCTATTTTAGGCCTTTTTTAAAGCAGGAAGTAACTTCTGTAATTTTCTGTTGCTTTTATATGTCAGAAAATAAATCGTCGTGTTTGAATTAATAGAAATGTTTATATTTATTGCTTTAAAAAACGACCTAAACGTCGAGTCGATGGTTAAAATAGTTGCAGCTTCTCAAATATTTGAACTCTACGTCCTGTAAATGATGTAAATTTTGTTTCTGTGAAGGAAAAAGTGTTTTCCAGCTTCTTAATGTGACAATTTCAGTTTTTCTTTACAGTATAATTTTCCTATTAAATAATACAAAACTTGAATCAGACAAAAGCCGCAAATGAAAGACCTTAAAGACCAAACGATGAATCGGTTAATTAACAGAAATGAATCTGTAACAAGATAATCATAAGTTGTAGCTCTGATGAAGTAAAAAGAAGAAGAAAAGCAACAAATCAGGTCGAAAATCATTTTAAAAAGCTGTTTTTTGGTTCAGTTTCAGATTTTTTATGAACTTTTCTTTTTAAAGCAACAAAGTCAAACATGAATTTTTCCAGTTTGTTTATGTGGCAGTTTTTCTTTGTCCTACATAAACAGGAAAATCAACATTTCAGAGCTTCTATCAGACAAAAGCAGCAAATTAAGGATCTCAGAGACCAAACGATGAATCGGTTAATTAACAGAAATGAATCTGTAACGAGATAATCATTAGTTGTAGCTCTGATGAAGTAAAAAGAACAAGAAGAGCAGCAAAGATCCAAAGATAAATGTTAAGAGAATCTGTTGTTTCATGTTCTCATCAACTTTGAATAGTTTTAATCATTACTCAGACTTGTAGATGTTTCTGAATAGAATTTTGAAAGGAAGGAAGCCAAAAACGTACTTTTCCAGCAACTTCATGTGACGAATAATATTTCAGCACTTCAGTCAGCGAATTAAAGATCTCAGAGATCACCAACGACCCATCGGTTGATTGACTGAGATCAGGAGTCACTGAGCTGGTTTATTAAATGAAAAGAAAAGCAGCAAAAAGGTCAGAAAATCAAGCAGGAAGACTTTTTAAAAACCTCATCTGCTGATTGTTTGATCATGATTTTGAAGCAGAAAGTCCAAATTTGAGCAGTTCCACTTTCTCACTGTGACAGTTTCAGTTTTTTCGCCGTCAAGTGTAGCAGACAAAAAAAACGAGTATCTCAAAGAAGAAAAATATCTGCTGGGTCTGGAGCACCAGTGTTGATCGGATGGAAGCAAGAAAACGGAAAATCAAATGTTTGAACGCACACGTTGAGATCTGCTAACAGAAGACTGATTATTAGTCGGCAGGCCAGAAGAAAATGACTGATTTTTAATTTGACAATCCTTTAATAATACTCAGGTACACCTAAAGACCTGAAAGCAGTAAATACAAACATCTGAAGACCAAACGATTAACAAAGACAAATCTGTTGTACAGTTATCATCAATGGCAGCAGAATGATTGAACTGAAGTGATTTTAATGTAGGAAGAAAATCCAACATCAGCAGCTTCTCACTTCTAAAGATTTTCATATTGATTGATTAGTCTGTAAGTGATTTTCTCCAGGAATCAACAGCTGAATCAATAATCAATACTGATGTTTTGTCCTTGTGTAAGCAGCAAATGTGTGACCATATTTAGTCATGTAAACGCTGCAGAGTTTTGATTCCAGCTGAAAACATCTGCAAAGTGGAACTTCCCGTTAGCTCAACTGACGATTGATTCTTGATTGGTTAATTGATAAAGCGACAGTTAGAAGTCTGGCCTTTGCCGCAGCAGACGTCCAATCAGAAGCCTTCGTCAGTGTCAACAGTCGATAACAGAAATGTCCTGATGCAGGTCGTCCAGCTGCAGTTTACTGTAAATATGACGTCACAATGTGTTTTATACAAACTATTACTTAAATATCAATATTAATAACATTCCTGAGAAACTGGTCAAGTGTCGAAATAAAACTAATAAATGCTTCCAAAATATGAATGAAATGAAAAATATTGAATGTTTCAAAATTTTTACTACAGTTCCTGAAAAAAATGTGTAAAGATTTTCTGAAAAATATAAAATTCCTGAGAAATCTTAATATTAATAGAGCTTCCCAGAAATAAATTTAAATATAAATAAATGAATATATATGGAACTGGTGCACAACACATTTCACTGCACGTTATACCATGTACAGCTGTGTTTGTGACCAATAAAAGACCTTGAATCCTTGAATCCTTGAAATATGAATAAAATCCCCCTGAACTGATGTCATATTGAGAAAATATCTAAAATGTATTAATGAAAATATTACTGTCTGAAATATATCAACAAATCTTTGAAACACATCAATCAAATTCTTAAAAGATATTGATAAATCCCCCCTAAATTAATGAAATATATAATAATAAAATACCCTGAAATTATGAATAAAGTGCCTACGACATTGTTATAAAATACCTTGGATATATGAGTACCGTGCCGAAAATAAAACCTGAATTGCTCCCAAATATGCATAAAATAACTAAAAAAAGAAAAACATAAAATGTCTGAAATATATTAAGAAAACAGCAATATAAGACTCAAACTGGGCTGCAAGGTGGCGCAGTTGGTTAGCACTGTTGCCTCACAGCAAGAAGGTCGCCGGTTCGCATCCCAGTGAAGACACCCGGGATCTTTCTGTGTGGAGTTTGCATGTTCTCCCCGTGCAGCGTGGGTTCTCTCCAGCTTCCTCCCACACAGTCCAAAAACATGTTGAGGTTAATTGGTGATTCTAAATTGTCTGTAGGTGTGAATGTGAGTGTGCTTGGTTGTCTGTCTCTAAGTGTAGCCCTGTGATAGACTGGTGACCTGTCCAGGGTGTCTCCTGCCTTCACCCTGAGTCAGCTGGGATAGACTCCAGCCCCCCATGAACCTAATGAGGATTAAGTGGTGTATAGATAATGGATGGAACTGGGAAATATTAATAAAATGCCCCCAAAATTAATGAATTATCTGAATAAAATTAAAAATGTATGAAAAGTAGTTGTTAGCGTGTCAAATATGTCAATGAATGGTCTGGAAAATAGTAATAAAATACTTAAACTATATTAATATGATGCTGATTACTTTAAAACCCAAATATACAACAAGTAAAAAAAAATTCAAAAAATGTCTGAAATATATTAATGAAATGCCTGAAATGTATTAAACTTACAAAAGTATGAAATAAAACCTGTAAAATATTAAGGCAATGAGTCAAATGTGTCATTCAAGTGGGTGAAAGTTATTTGGTGTATTTGCAGTAATCAGACTGGTGGATTCAGGTGTTGGATCAGAACCAGAAGTGAACATGTTTCTGCTACCTGTCTCATGCTCTTTATCCTGTGTGTCTGTCTGTTCTGTGCGTCCAGCTGACTTGTTCGGGGATGTCGGGCAGTAAGGCGCTGGGCGGGGGGGCTGGCGGCGGGGCGAGGCGCAGGCGGACTCGGTGCCGGCGCTGCCAGGCCTGCACGAGGACCGAGTGTGGAGAGTGTCACTTCTGTAAGGACATGAAGAAGTTCGGAGGGCCCGGCCGGATGAAGCAGTCCTGCCTCCTGAGACAGTGCACGGCGGTGAGCACACACACACACACACACAGCAGTGACTGGCTGACAGCTGATTGACAGCTGATTGACGGGTATCTGAGGTTCTGGATCAATCAGGAACCTAAAGGATCATAGTGCTTCACAGCAGCTACAGTCAGAAGTGAGGACACGGTGTTCCTACTGCTGGTCCTCACAGCAACACACAATCAAGTACATATAAAACCTCTAACGTGCACTGTTACAGTACAACAAAGGCTGCACACTGAGATACAGCGAGAACTCTGTTCATCCAAACACTCAGTTAATAAAAATCAGATGTTCCGAATTAAAAATGTGAACAGCTCAACAAAACCTACGGACACACAACATCTATCAACGTTATAGAGCTGCATGATGCTCAGTCACTATTCACATTATTTATCAGGATTATTCTGTGATTTTAGGGACAAAATATTTAGATTGAGCCGTACATTTAAACAAACACATCTTTACTTTTACTTCTAATGTTGATGTACAAATCTGAATCAAAATCTGAATTGAAATAATCTTAATTCAGAGCATCTCCTGGAGGCTGAATATACATGAAACTGAACCAAAGCTCCTCAATGGATGAACTCGTGGTTATCTTCACTACAGCTTCCAGATGTTCCCTAAACACTTGGTACCAAATTTAATATCAAAATAAAAAAATCTGTGAAATGAATGCATTTCTTTGCACAACTTTAATCCAAGCAAAACCTGCAGCACGATGAAGTAACGCTAGCTGCTACATTAGCCGTAAGGAAATAACGTCAGCTGCTACTTTCACAAAATAACATGATGCTAGCCGATATATTAGCCTTGAACCGATAACATAAGCTGCTACAGTAACCTAATCAAGATAATATTAGCTGCTACATTAGCTTTATTAAGATAACATAAGCTGCTACTTTAGCTAAACATTATACCCCAAGCTGGTACATTAACACAAACAAGCTAATGTTTGCTTAAGCAAGATAACATAAACTGCTATGTTAGCCTAAACAAGATAGTGTTAGCCTTATCACGGTGACATAAGCTGGTGTGTTAGCCGAGACAAAGTCACATGCTGCTGCGTTAACTTTATTATAATATGAAAAAGCCACTATGTTAGCTTAAAGAAGCAAGTTTTTGGCTGAACATGATCTCATTAGCTGCTGTGTTTGTCTAAATAAGGTAACATAAACTGCTGCTTTAGCCTAAACAAGCTAATGTTAGCCCAAACAATATAAATAAAGCTACTGTGACACGAAACAAGACTTCGTGGGGCACTTTTTCAATCGAAACCAGCTAACGTTAGCCTCTGTGAGCACAGTTCACCAACAGTAACAGGAACATTTCAGGATGTTCCTTCAGCACCTGCAGGACCAGAGAACCACTAAGACCACATGTTTTCAGGAGGATCTGTTCTCAGTGTTTCCTGTCAAGTCCAGCAGGTCACAATCAACCTGGTTCTCCACATCTCTCTTCATCTGCATCACGATCATGATTTCACGTGACAATGAATGAGAACCTGCAGAGCAGAACGTGTCCACGCACTTCTGGTCAGAACATTGTGAACACGCTGCTCCTGCTGCTGTACACACTAACACACATGGCTCAGATTTACATGTTCATATAATCCCCCCCCCTTACACCTACAGGATGTCACACACGCTTGTTCTTGTATCTCTGTGAGGACGCTGCCTGATTAATGCCTGATTCTGATGTGAACAAACGTCCTCACAGAGATAGACACACACACCTACACACTTTCAGTCTTCTTCAAACACTGAAGGTGTGATTTATTTTTTTCGTGTGTGTCGATTCTTCAAATAGCATCAGCAGAGCCCAGCAGGCGACGATGCTGGGTTTCCGTGGCAACCAGAGATGGTTGCTGGCGCTGTGAGAGAGTTTGGCTTTGATCCATGGAGATGCTTTCACACACCGAGCTGCTGCTGCTGCCGCTGCTCAGATTATCCCTGCTGGACGTTTATTTATCTGTTTGTTTGTTTATGTGTTTGTGATTTGGGGGAAACAGGAGGATGTCGGCTCAGTTAACAGGGGGTGAGGATAGAGGAATGCAAGAGTAGAAGGGGTGAGGAGGGGTGAGGCTGCAGGAGATGTGCCCTCTGCTGGCTGCTGGAGGAACAACAGGATTGGACAGGAACAGCACATCTCCTCCTCCTCCTCCTTCTTCTTTATTTATTTTTATGTAGTTCTGAAGTGACATCACTGCTGGTTTATTCTAAAATCTGAAGCATGATCAGAGGTTTTAATTTACTAATGAAAACCTGTTCAGGCTAAATCGGTGATGACGACAGGAAAAAATGCCAACATCAATATTTCAATGAGAATTTTTAATCCAAACCTTGTTCTTGAATTTAGTTCATTATGATGCGCTTGTTTCAATTAAGTTTTTTTTTTTTGTTGTCATTTAATATTTAGTATGTAATAAACACTTCCAGTACTTAAAGTTGTTATAAGTCACTCCAAGGCATATGTTTAGCAGTTAAATAGCTCTGCAGTGCTACATAACTTTCTGTAGCGGAGCTTTAAGGTTCCTGACCACCTACAGCGCATGAAATAGAGCTCTGGTAGGACACTGTCTGAAATGTACTGTGGCTCCAAAAGACGCAGAAAACCTGTATCTCTACATGCATGTCAGAAAGTGTGTTGTAGATCAGCGGTCGTACCTGGTTGTTCCACCAGGTGGAGCCTCTCACTTTTAGATGCTGTAGAGACCAGAGGAGGTGTCACTCAGACTGCAGGCAGTTCATGTTGACAAGCAGAGAGCATTGTGGGAGTTTAGCTGGAAATGGGCACCAAGACTTCTGTGGAGGTTAATGACCTCCAACTTTTCAGTTGTGCCTGTAGCAGCATATGAAGTAATGTCTAGAATACTGAATTTGTTTTTGATTAATCGATCATTGATTGTTAACACTACGTACGAACAATCAGTTTAGAAAATAATTAGAAATTTGAGTGCATTTAACGGCTACAAGGACTTAATTAATAAATAGACGGCATTGATTTGTCATTTCTGGCTTCGTGAATGTCTCCGTTTCTGTTCAGTTTTTAAAAGATTGCAAATAAATAAAGAAAAGATGATTTTTATTCATCTCACAGCAAGAAATGTCGGAAAATACAAAATAAACGAGAAATACTCACTTATCGTTGATATCGTGCAGATTCCTTTGAATGTGGAAAATACTGACAATAAAAATACGGACATTGCACAGATTATTTTCTATGTACAAAAATGAGCTATTTTACAAAGTGAAAAAAAATGAAAATATTGAGGGTTTTCAACATGTTTGGCTGCATTGATGTTAAATTAGAATTAAATCTGACCGTGAGCTATCACAGCTTGATTGAAGTTTTGTAAATCACAAGCTTAAAATATTAATCTCTCTTAAGCATCATCGAATACGTCCACTCACCTGTCTGACTCACCTGTGTGTCTCTGCAGCCGGTGTTGCCTCACACGGCGGTGTGTTTTGCGTGCGGAGAGGCGGGGAAGGAGGACACGGTGGACTCGGAGGAGGAGAAGTTCAGCCTCTCTCTGATGGAGTGTACCATCTGCAACGAGATCATCCACCCCAGCTGTCTGAAGGTGGGTCACACACTTGCTGCACCTTTAATCAGCAGAACTAACGGATTCATGTCTCTGCAGCAATTGTCCAGAACTGTTGGTGTAGCCGCTGGTTCTGGTCAGTATAACATACCTCCAACATAATGAGGTGAACTGAAAGTGGTTTGAATCTCCTTTATTGAGCTCTGTGTTCAGTGTGAGCAGAGACGTCGCAGCTTCAGCACGAATTAAAGTCTGTAAAGTGAATTAACACATTGGAAAGGAACATTATTATATACAATAAAAGAAACAATATACAGTTGGCAAAATGTTAAAAAATTAAAGTTTACAAAAACTTCTTCATCTGAAAGTGTATTTGCAAATTCCATAAACAGCATTCATACGTTTTCTCCTTTTATTGATTTTCAAGACTAAATTATTGTTGAGTTAATTAATTTTATGTTTTGACAAGAATGTACAAAAAAAAAAACCCTTAAAGGTCAAAGAAAAAACAGATTTCTAAAAAGTAATGTCAATAAAAGCGCTCAAAAGGGGAAACTACAAATGAAAGCAGCTTTAAATGCTAACCCTGTTAGCATGCTGCAGCTAACAGACAACAACTGGTGCTCTGAGGAAACCCTTTAGTGAAAAAAAAAAGAGTCCCGTTTCAGGTGCAGAAACACAGATTTTGGTTGAACTTAAATTTCTGTAAATGAAACTTTAATGAGGAGAAATTGGGTCATTGCAGCAGCAGAGAGGAGGACATGAAGAGCTGCTTCAGAATTTTAACATTCACACCAAAGCTCTATTTTTGGGAGAAAAGTGCAGTTTTTGTCTGAAGCAGAGAGAACAAGGTGTGTTTGTGAATGTAAGAGTCAGAATAAATCCTCTGTGAAACACCATCTGCTGCTTCAGACACCAACAGACTCTTCTTGACACAAATATCACAGCCAGGAGATCAGTTTGTTTGGATCCCTGAGGGGATGCTGAGCCCTGCAGCACGGAGAACAGACATGAAACTCAGAGTGGATTTGTAGATAATTCTGCTGTTTTCAGGTGAATTTATGCAACTGTATTTCCTCCTCAGATGGGCAAAGCTGAAGGAATCATCAACGACGAGATCCCAAACTGCTGGGAGTGTCCCAAGTGCCACAAGGAGGGCAAAACCAGTAAGGTGAGAGTCACACCAGTACTGAGGACCGGACATCCTCTGATTCCCAGCAGCAGTTAGACTGATGTTAATGTTCACATCAGACTGGGACAGGAGTCTGAAAGTTGGTTAGATAAAGGTTTCATTTCAAGCATAGAGTCAAAAGTTTAGCATCTAATATGAGAAAACCTAAATTTGTGTTAAAACAGTTTACAAGTACTCGATAATCCGAACCCTTAACAATCTGAAAACCTCGCTATCCGTCAGGTTTTTAGGAAAAACGAACAGAACCTATGAAAAATAACCTTAACATACCGACAGCCTTGGATTCCGACTCTGACATGACATTTTATGTTACAAATAAGGATAACGGCGTATTATCTGACTGAAAAATCCCACAGATTGGCTACATTCAGACTGCAGGACTTAATGCTCAATTCAGATTTTTTGTGAAATCTGATTTTTTCTATGTGATCTGCTGTGTGAACTTCATACGACCCAAAAGTGTCCCGCATGTACAGAAGAGGACACGACGACGTCACACGCAGCGAGCGTGCTCAGTGTTTATGGAAGTAAACACGGATGGTAACAATGGAGCGTATCTCCCGCTCCCCCACCGCCGCCACTGATGGTGGAAACAGCACTGTGACCATTAACTAAACTAGCATCAGCAGCCAAGTACTGCCTGTGCGTTCTGGATACTCCCACCCCGTCAGAGCGCTCCCCTGGGGTGGAAGTGCCCCCTCAACCGCGCCGAATATTCATCATTAATTTGGCCCAAATATCCGAAGCCCAGCAAGTGCTACTGGACCAGCCCTACTAGTTATTATAACAACTATAAACAATGAATATTTACAACAAATGAGCCTTCAAGCATCAAGCCCTCCTTGTATCTCGACCTCCGTCTTGACAATCCGACAGCCTTGCTATCCGACATAAAAGAAGGTTTTACATTTAGTGTCGGGAGTGTCGAGTCACCACTGTATATTAATTCACACAATAATTCAGGTACATTTCAAATGAAATAGCAAGACAACAGGACGTCGTGGCTTTATCAGCTTATGTATTGAGAATAAAGAGCACTTGTACATTTTGAGTTCTCTCGCCGTCGTCATAGTTGTTCTGTGTCCATAGAGGTGCAGGACTTTGTATTGCAGTGAAAAACAAACCTACAGTGAGGAAAAATGAGGCAGTAAAAAGGAAGAAAAACAAGATTAGCTGCTGCTGGAGTTCAGAGAGTGAATGTTTATGATTTGAAGTTTAAAAATGAATCCTTGTTGGTGAAGCCTGCCGTGCTCCATTTTGTCTCTGATGAGGAGGAACCTGAGAACCTGGACAAGGTTCTGGTCTTGAGGTTCCTGATGTTTTTCCACATGAGCACAGACGTGTTTTCCTGTGTGCAGGACCAGGCGGACGGCTCGGGGAAGCGGCGGCTGGATAACGGGGAGGTGGGACGCTGGAAGCTCACCGATGACCCGCCCCCTAAAAAGAAAGTCCCACTCTCCCTGGAGGAGGGGGGGAGGGCAGAGGGGGGGCACAAGAGGAAAAAGGAGAAGGAACTTCCTGCAGACAGCGGGCCAAAGAAGAAGGTGAGCCACCTCAAACGGCACCGATGACTGGTTGTTGATCCATCGTAGGTCTTAAATACCTCATCTGTCCTGCTGCAGGCTCAGTTATAGAACATCTCTGATTTAGAGAAAACTGTCTTTATGTCGTTTTATACCCAGCTGGCTGCTTATCCAGCTTTTCTGTCGAGTCATTACAAATAATACCAACCAAATCTGAACAAAATCCCTCTGACCTCCTCGGAATCAGCTGCCTCTTTACCTACAGTAACTTTAGTATATTTAATAAAGGCCTGCAAAGTTTTACCTTCATATTATTAATAGGTTGCAGGCCCTTGAAGTACAGAGAGGTGAAATTTCACACTTTTTAATGAACTTTTTCCATCATTTCTGAGCCTCATAACTTCATCTGTATAACCAGTAGACACATGAAATGTTCAGGGCTAAAACAAACCCCATTTGAGTTCTGTTAAAAACTGCAACCAAATCAGTTTTACATCTACTCCAGGTGCCACAATCAAAACCCTAAATCTGCTTTTGTTCATTTGTTTTTTCTAGAACCCACTTTCAGCATCAATATTATGGGATATATCATAGTTTGAACAGTAAACCTGCAGCTACATGTGATGATGTTAAGACTGTGTGTGAACAAGTCTGACTGAGTCTCCTGTTTGTTTCTCAGATGAAAGGCGCCCATGAAAAACGCCTCAAAAAGGTACGAAGCCTTTTTTGGTCAACTTGTTTCTTAATCTGACTGCAGGTAGAAACTGCAGAGTTAAATGCTGAAAAGTTAGTTTGTCAAAGCAGCTGTGGATATTTACACCTGAAGTAAAAATACACAACTGTATAAACTATTTTGTATTACATGAGGTGAAAGAAAGCATGTGTACAAATAGTCAGTGTTGGTCAAGTTGCCCAGTCATAGCTCTTTATTCATGTCTTAAAGCTAATGCACTACTTAAGTTACCTTTACTTTCACGTGATGCATTCAAAGCGTTCAGCAGCTGCGTCTATCAGAAAGCAGAACTGTGCCTGATTTGATTTTACTGTCATCACATCACAGTGATCCTCTGCTCCCAGTGTTCTTGCAGCACTGCTAACGTTTCCTAGAAGTTCTGCTCTGTAAAGTCAGACAACGTTTCATGTCCTCTCCAGTTCCAAAGAGTCGCATAAAACAGTGCATTAAAAAAGGAAACATCTAAACTTGTCCAAAATGACACGCAGGTGTCCAAACTGACTCCAAAAGTATTAAAAATAATGAAAATGACTTAAAGTTTTTCCAAAAAGACAAAGATGTGTGACAAAGATATGAGACAACAACATATCTGCAATGACTCAAAACCAAGTTTATCCATAAAGACTGAAAGATGTCAAAATGAGCAAAACATTCAAAATGTCTCAAAATGTCGCTAACAGGACCTACAATTTAGCCAAAATGTTCTACCAAAACATAGAAATATAAACTTGTCAAAAAATAACTCAAATTTCACTAAAAATATTAGTGACTGGACACTTTTCCAGAATTATTTTTTTCCCACAATGACCAGTCGTGTTGGAAATGATCACAAAGAAACAAACGTGCCAAAAGTGACAAGACATTAATAAAAATGTATTTGACACTTAAGAATGACTCAAAATTTGTGTAAAATTATTCCTGAAACAACAAAATAGATTAATTTATTACTAATGTGTCTCTGTATCTACGCTGAAGGAAGACTTGTCCAAAATGACTTGTGATCTGTCTAAACTCACTTGCTGAATGTTACTGTGTTTCTTCAGAACTGATGCAGAAAGTTTTCCTGCTCGCTGCCTCGTTACGATTCATGACAGTTAAATCTGACGGACGAAACGAGGCGTCCCTCTGACAAACTGTGATGTCTTTAAATTTATTATTTAAGCTCTCAGTAACAAACAGACCTGTGAGCTGATTTTGTTTTCGCTGAGTCACTGAGTCTTCTGTTCTCCCTGTCAGAAACCCAAACAGGAAGCGGTGGAGTCAAATGGTCCCACCTCATCCTCAGGGGGCGGAGCCGGAGGCCTGCAGAACTCCGCCTCCTCCTCCTCTCAGCCAGGGGGAGGTGGTGGAGGCGGAGGTGGCGGGGGGACGTCGAGCGTTGACCAGCGCTCCCACCACCGAGAGAAACTGGAGCGCTTCAAGCGGATGTGTATGCTGGAACGCCGGCCAGAATCCTCGTCCTCGTCCTCCTCCAGCTCCGAGTCCGACTCCGAGTCTGACTCTGATGACTCTCTAAGGGGGGAGCAGGGAGGGGGCTCATCACCGTCTTCCTCCTCCCCGGCCCCGCCTCCTCCCATCGTCTACGGCAACAGCAGCGGCAGTCGGGCGGAGCGTGAGAGGAGTCGCAACGAGCGGGAGAGGGAGCGTGAACGGGAACGAGAGCGAGTCCGACGACTCGCTGAGCTTGGATTCAGCGCCAGCGAGGAGTCGGAGGGTGAGGGTGGCCGGGGGGAGTCAGAGGAGCGGGAGGAGGAGCCAGCTGCAGGGGGCGGGGACAAGGCACGCCGGCGAGAGGCGGGGCTACCGCCGCGAGGGCGGAAAGCAGGGCTGATAGACGGAGAGGACGAGGACACGCCCACTTCCGACAGGACCAGGAAAAACTCTGCCTCTCTGCCTCCGCCCTCGCCCCTCTCGTCCAATCAGATGCCTCCGTCCTCACAGCACGATGGGTTTATGGGGAAGCAGCGCAGCAACGGGCAGGAGGCCCGCAATGGTCGGACACGAGGAGGGACGGGAGGAGGCGGGAGGGAGGGGGGTGAGAAGGAGAATGCCAGTGGAGTTCTGACCAATCACAGACACAGCGGGGGGGGAGGGGGCGGGGCCAAAGGAGGCGGGAGCCGCAGCAACAAGATCCGTAGCAACAACAAGAACCAGGCATCTAGGAACAGCGTCTCCTCCTCCTCTTCCATCCCCACCTCCAATGGGGGAGGGGGTGGTGCAAGCGGTCTCATGATGTCAGCGATGGCGGCGTCGCCCTGCTCGCAGCCATCCCGCCTCGCTCCACGCTCTCAGATGATGAAGCGCAGTCCACCCGCTGTGCCCTCGCCGCCCCGACCTGTTCAGATGGAGCGACACCTGGTCCGGCCGCCGCCCGCCTGCCCTGAGCCCAGCTGCCTGCCGCTGGACTGTGGCTCCGCCCACATCATGACCCGTGATGTCTGGCTACGAGTCTTCACATACCTGAGCCACCGAGAGCTGTGCGTCTGCATGAGGGTGTGTCGCACCTGGAGTCGCTGGTCAGTACTCACCTGTTCACCTGTCTGCCGTAGAGTACGGCACAAATGTAAGACCGACCTGAATGTGAGACTAGCCTTCAGTTAACAACAACATAAGAACCACTTCGATCGGCTAAGATTCGCTTCATTCGTGTGAATTATGCAAATTCAGATACGAATCTCTCCGCGTTTAACGCGCAAATGACGTGAATTATTCGTGCGAATGAAGCGAGTGATCTCAGTGCATACACGTGCGAATCACGTGAATAGCGTGATAAATTTGCGTCTTGTGTGAAGACAGCATGAGACCGCTTCAAGTCTGCAGTAGTTTTTGTATTCAGGACCACATAGTTCAGATACAGAGATGCATTCTGGGTTATTGGTAACGTTCATGTTACTGTCAAGTGTTTTCAGTTTCTACTGAGAGGTTCAGAGGAAGGAAGCTTCCTTCCTGTTGTACCTCAGAGTTGCTCTGTGAACACAAGCGAATCTCAGGTGTTGTCCTCCCTCCTGTCCAGGTGCTGTGATAAAAGATTGTGGACTCAGATCGACCTAAGCCGACAGCGCTCCATCACCCCTCCCATGCTGAGTGGTATAATCCGCCGCCAGCCTGTCTCCCTGAACCTGGGCTATACCAACATCTCCAAGAAGCAGCTCATGTGGCTCATCAACCGCCTTCAAGGTGACATGAACACACCTGGGCTCACCTGATCCAACTACCCACTCACGAATTCATCTGCACACACCACTGACTGAGATATAGTCCACAACTTGTTGTGTAAACGCTTCTGATTGCTCAAATGTTTTGATTGTTTGCAGTTTTAAATAAAAATATGACAGATTTTCAGTGTGCTCTCTAAAACATTACCTTAAGTCATTTTTTTAAATAGAAATTCTTCAGCTTCGTTAGCTCGGCTTCTCAGATGTAAGAATTTGGTATTCTCTTTGGCTAATTTGATAATGAAAACATGAGTAGTTGCAGCTGCAGATGCAGCTGTTGTTGTAATTTGCAATATGACCTGATGGTGTCACTGTTCTGCAGCCTGAACTCGATGCTGCAGCTGCTCGCTGTTTAGTTCAGAGGACATGATCCTTTCTGAAATCAAAGTTTCCCCTGATTCTTTATCTACAGTAACTTTAGTGTATTTATTGAAGCCCTGCAAAGCTTTACCGTCATATGATCAGATTTACAGGCCCTTAAATTCCAAGTTTCACACTTTTTAATGGAATTTCTACGTAATTTCTGAGCCTCTTAACATCATCAGTACAGCAGATAGACAAGTGAAAACACATTTGAGTTCTGTTAAAAGCTGCAACCAAATCAGTTTTACAGCCACTCCAGGTGTCACAACGTAAACACTGAATGATATTTTGTTGGATGGAAGATTGATTTGAATTCACTTTCTAACAGAACTCAAATGTGTTTTTCAGCCCTGAAAGTTTTGTGTCTATCTGCTGTACTGATGAAGTGATGTGACTCAAAAATTATGGAAAAGGTCCAATAAAAGTGTGAAATCTGGACCCACCTCTATGTACTTAATGGGCCTGTAACTCTGAAAATATTCACAGTACAAGTTAACATGGGGCTGAAGCTCCTGTAGTTTGTGACGTTGTTCTGTGTGACGCTGCCCCTCACCTGTGCATCTCTTTGTCCTCAGGTCTCCTGGAGCTGAATGTGTCTGGCTGTGCGTGGCCAGCGGTCTCTGCTCTGTGTCAGGCCGTCTGTCCGTGTCTGAAGCTGCTGGACCTCAGCAGGGTGGAGGACCTGAAAGACTCTCACTTGAGGGAGCTGCTGGCCCCGCCCCCTGACACCAGAACAGGTGAGGCGCCCACCTCACCCACATCACAACACTGCACACCATTCAGTTTAGAGAAGGTTCTGAGGTTCTCTGCTCTCTGATTGGTCCTTCAGCTCACGGTGAGACCAGAGTGGGGCGGTTCCAGAATGTGACGGAGCTGCGATTGGCTGGTTTGGACCTGACGGACACCTCGTCCCGCCTGCTGGTTCGTTACGTTCCTCACCTGTCCAGGTTAGACCTGAGCCAGTGTGGAAACATCACCGACCAGACGGTGCACAACCTCACCTCCCCCATCTCACCCCTGAGAGAGAGCCTCACCCACATCAACCTGGCAGGTAAACACACCTGACGCTACACCTGTCACCTCCTGTCACGTCATCCTCCTCCTCCGCTCTCACCTCCACCTCTGTCCCCTCCTCCTCTCTCACCTCCATCTCTTCCCTCTCTTCCCCCTCCTCTCTCACCTCCACCTCTGTCCTCTCCTCCTCTTTCACCTTGTCCTCTGTGTGTTGCAGGTTGTATGAAGGTGACCGATCAATGTGTTGCATTGTTGCGACGCTGCAGCTCCCTGCAGTCGGTGGACCTGCGCTCCTGCTCCCTCGTCTCCTCTGAGGCTGGACAGCTGCTGTCCTTCCCCTCCTCCTCCTCCACCTCGTCCTCCTCTGCTGTCGCTGCTTCATCGTCATCATCCTCCTCCACGCCGGCCTCCTCCTCCTCCTCCTCCTGTCCTCCTGAAGACAGAACGCTGCTGAAGAACAGCTAAAGTCCTCCACGTCATGTGACACTGCAGTCCAGGTGGCCGACAAGCCCCGCCCCCTCCTGGTTACACTACAGACAGGTGAGGAGGCGCAGGAGGAGGAAGAATGTACTTTGGGAAAGTTGTGGGTAATAGTTAAATAGAAACCCTGAGCATGTACATATTTGTTCTCTGTACAATTTTGGGTGTTTGTATATATCTGTAGTTTACTGTAAATGATCCCCCATCCCTGAAGCCCTCCTTCCTCCTTTCCTTCCCTCCTCTCCTTCCCTCCTTCCGTCCTTCCACCCTTCGACCAATCATCGCGCCACCTGCTCGTCAGGTAAATCCTGAAAATCCAGACTTCATCATGTCCATGTTCGGTTGCTGTGGTTGGAGCGCTGATGTAACCTCCCCACAACGCTCTGACAACCATATTCAAACCTTAAAACAACCGCAGGCTGCAGGGAGGTTGCAGCTACGCTAACAGTTTCCCTCTGCTTCCAGTCTTTGTGCTAAGCTAAGCTAACCACACCCGTCTGTTGATCTACACGTTTCAGAACTGATCCCGTTCTGATCAATCGAAACACAAACCAGAGTCAGGTTTGTCCAGAGACAATTCCAATAAAGTTTATTCAAACAAGAGCGCCACTATCAACGATAAGAAGCTTATTTTCTTCATCACTTCCATCATTTGTTCTGTCAGCAGAAACTCTCCCATTCACGGCTGCAGCTAACAATGATTTTCACTATTGATCAACCTGACAGGTATTTTCTTGATTAGTCGATCAATCGTTTTGTCCAAAAGTACAGAAAAATGGTCACAAGGTCCTGTTACATGATGGAAATAACACAATCTTCATATTAGAAAAGCTGGAAACATGTAGGATCTTTGTTTTAACGATGACAATCGATTAATTGACACTGAACTGGGATTTACAACCGTGAAAGCAGCTGATTCTCTTCTGAAACTTCTTCAGTTCTTAGCTTTTTTGCTTCACGGCTGAGGAACCAGTTCAGTAGCTAGTTTTCCGTCAGCTCAGCGTCAGTTTAGACTTCAGTTTGGTCCACAGCTATAGTTTCTAACATGTCTTCTCTGAGAGAAATCTGTTCGTTCACTTAATTACTCAATTATGGCTGCAACTGACTGGTATTCTCTAAATTAATTCATCATGTCTGACTTGCTAAAGGATGAAATAACGTCACTAACACGGTGAATCAGCTGATTGTAGGAGTTCATTTTGTCTTCAGTTGACCAAAACTTAAAGATTAAAACTAAAAGATGTTTAATTTACTGTTCTCATGTTGTAACAGTCACACGAGAGCAGCTGGAAGCAGAAAAAACAAAGGATGTTTAATCTTCTGTTGATTCACTAATGGATTAATCGACTAATCAAGTTCATAAAATAACTACGAATACAAATTTTATTCATTGAGCTACAATCAGATTATTCAGGCCATCAAACACCAAATGGAGACAAACCACCTCCCAGTGTTTGAATCCTCAGACTTCAGAAGAAGGATCAGGTTTATTTTAGAGATCGATCTTCAGCTGCTCTGACTGTAAACCACAAACACAACTTCAGTCTTCTCAGTATTTCAGGCTGCTGAGCTGAATCATCCAGCAGTCCCTGAATCAAATATGCCACAAAAAAATGCACCTTTTTCATGTATTCAAAGTCTGGACATGAGCAGCCGGAAACTGGAGAAATCATTTTCAATTGATCTAGCCTCCAGCAGTCGACTTTGAATCAAACCCGATTCAGAGATGCCGTTAAATCGTGTTAAATCTACAACACGAGCAGCTGTGACAGAACATCTGTAAAGAAATGTCAGTCTGACAGCGAGTCTGCTGCTAAAACCACAGGGTCTCCATCACTCTGTTCCTGACAGTAACTCTGAAGCTGGTTGTGTTGGAGGGTGGATTTAAACCAGCAGCTTCCTTCCAGTCGTTGTGCTAAGCTAGGCTATGCTAGGCTAAGCTAGGCTAACCAGCTCCAAACTGATTCCACCTCGTCTAAAATGTGGGACTGTTCCTTTAAAACGCTGCAGTGTTTCTGGTTGTTTGTTTCCTCGGCAGGTGAACTTTGGTCGGGTGTTTTCAGTTCAGGTGTTTTGTGTGTGTGTGTGTGTGTGTGCGAGTGTGTGTGTGAATCTGAGCCTCGATGTCTTCAACATGCGCCTCAATCACTCCTCTTTGATTTTCTACCATCGTGTGTTTTCTCAGGAGTATTTGGTGTTTTTTTTCTTTGAACCAGGTTTAATTTATTTTCCATCCAGTCTGAACGGACACATTCCTGTTTGTTTTCTGCTTCTTCACACTCCTTTTAGTTTTCCACGTCCTGAACATGACTGTCTTTGCTGCATTATTGATTAAACTGAGTCTGTGTTCTTCTGAAGTCCATTTCAGTCAGGAAAAGAAGAAAGTAGGACTACTAACTTAAAGTACTTGTGAGTTAACAAAGTGAGACAAATCAAGATCAGGAGATTTTTTTTTATGTAAAGGTTTAATCTTGAATTTATAATAATCTTAGTTATTAGGATTTATTGCCTCAGGATCTCAATTTGTCTCATAATCTGGATTTACTGCCTCAAAATCTTGACTTACTTCAGAATCTAGACTTACTATTATCTTGATTTACTATGTCATGATCCCATTTTATAATCCTGGTTTAGTTTATGATAACCTTCGTTTATCTTCACATTATCTTGACCTATCTCATAAACTGCAATTAGTGCCTCAAAGTCTTGACTTTTTTTTTTTTTTATAATCTTCCATGTGTAACTTTAATTTAGTTTATCATAATAATTTACCAATCAAAATCTTGACTTGTTTCGTAATCTGGATTTACTGCCTCAACATCTTTACTAAATCTAGAATTTAGATTTACTGTAAAATTGATTGACTGTCCTGACCTCAATTTATATCAGAGTGATTTATTTTGTAATCTTGACTTTTGTCCTATAATCTGGATTAACTGTTTTAGAATCTTGACTTATTTCATTATCTTGAGGTAGTTTATCATAGTCTTACTTTACTATATCAGAATCTTGATGTACTGCTTTGAGTTCCGATCTTAGAAGAATCTGGGAGTCATAATACTGATTTAGTTGGTTCTTAACTTTAATTTGCAGTATCAGAATATCTACTTGTCTCCTAATCTGGTTTTATTGTCTCAAAGTCTTGATTTATCACTTGTCCTAAAATCTTGAGTGTCATCTGGTAATCCAGATTTATCTCACGTTTTTGATTTAGTGAATCATATCCCGAGTTTACTCTGTCAGGATCTTAACACTGTGTTTCAGAGATCTCGGCTTGGTTTCTGATAATCTTATTTTAATGCCGTGATTGTTACTTATCAGGATTTAGATTAATGGTCTAATCATCATGACTTTGTTTTATAATCTCAATTCATCTCACAATTCTACAACATATCTGACTCTGATGTAGTTACTTTATGGTTGTGACTTAGTAAATTTAAGACTTCAAAAGTTAAAAATGATCAGTCTTATAATCTTGATTTAGTGCCTAATCATTTGTATTTCGTAACTCGAAATCCTGATTTACCAATCCCAAATTTGGAATTTTTTCTTTTCTTGCCTGAAATGGGCTTCTGTGGTTTCTCAGGGGCTTCACTTATGGAAAAATCTGTCTTTCTGAATTTGTCAGTTATTGTTAAAACTAAGTTTAGGCTTTTAGTGTTTCACATGAAAGCAGTACATTTTTGTCAGTAGATTTAAATCCGAACGTTGTTCACAGATGTTTCATAAGTGATGTTTCTGACGTGATGGAAAGTCTTCATGTCTTCTGTTGTTTTTCTTCATGTATGTGAACTTGCTGTCATCATGTGAGGCAGCAGCACTGAGGGGGGGGTCGGACATGTTGTTATTCATGTTCTTTATTCATGTTCTGTGTTTTTGTCATGTTTACGACCACATCAAACAAATCAGACTGCAGTCACCAATAATCAATATTAGTTCTGTCAGGGTAGAGTTGAATAGACAGGTGACCTTGTACCAGTTAGTCTGTTAGTTCGCTTCTTCCAATTTAGCTGCACAGTGCCCTGTTAGCTTCATCACTCCATCTTAGCTACCAGGTGTGACTGTCAGTTTCAGGTGTTGTTTACCTGCTGCACTGTTCTCTCTCAGAGATTCTAAACCGGAAGAACAAACATGTAAAACAGAGTCTACTATTTAAATCAAGGTGACAGAACAAGCAACCATTTTCTCTGGCTAACCAACCGTAGCTAGAAAGCTAACAAAACTTTGTTCTTGTGGTTCTAGTGGTCATTTTTCCCCACTTAAGCTCTGCATTTATAATGAGCTGTGTAATTAGCCTTTTAGCAAGCTGAGGTAAAAAGCTGACACTGACTCGTGTTAGTTCAGGTGTGCAAATGAGTCAGGAAAATAAAAACTGAAGAATAAATAAAGTCAATTAAATTACATTGAGAAAATGAGCAGGGAATTGCCATTGCCAGCTATATTGACATTAGCTTGTGACCTACTCCTTGCATTAGCTCATTAGCAAGTTTAAGCCACAAGCTAACGCTGGCTCGCTCCAAGTTGATTAGCTTTTTCCACATTTGCTTCATGGTACCATGTTAGCTTCCTAGCTACTTAATAGTTAGCTGGGTTCAAGTATCAACTAGTAGACAAAAAAAAAAGCCAAAATGAAATTTAAAAAAATTCTGAACTCGAGACACTATTTGTTTTCCAAGCTAGCTGTTCCAAGCAGGTGTTATCCTGCTACTTTGGAGATCAGTTTTGTGCTGAAATTAAAAGTTGAATTATTGTTTCATTAAGTGTGAAAATTAAGCAAATATGACCATTATTCACATCCAGCAGCTAGCATGTAACTCAGTCCTCACATGAGCTCATTATCGAGCTTAAACGACAAGCTAACTCTGGTTTGCTCCATGTTGGGTAGCTTGTTCCACATTCGCTTCGTGGTACCATGCTAGCTTTATAGCTACATATTAGTTAGCTGGTATCAGTGTTCCACTCAGAGAAAATAAAGTTAAATGAAATGGGGCCAAAAATTAAATTTTTGAGGGAAAATAAGGAGGCAAGAGCTGTGAGAAGCTAGCGTTAGCATCTTACAGGCGTTATAGTTTTGACTTGGGCTGAAATTCAAAGGTAATTCAGCATTAGGAGGGAAAATTAAAGTCAATGTGATCAACGTTCACATTATTTATCAAGAAAAATCCAGTTTTTGGTGTCTCATGTTTCTAATTCGCTGCTTTTTCTTTGTTTTTAAATGGCTGTAAAATTTTAATGTTTGAGCTGCTTCGACTAAATTTGAATCTGAACTTTGGCTGGATGTTTTTCACACGTTCTGACAGTTAACTGGTAAAAAGATGAATCAGTGAAATAACTGTCAGTTGCAGCTGCTCTTTAATATGAGTAAATATTGCAGCACTGCATTTCGCTGCAGTAAATCTCCTGCGAGCTCGACGTGAATTAAAGTATTATGGGAGAGCTGTTGCCATGACGCCTTGTTGTGCCATAAACGCACCAGATCAACTGTTGACGTGTGAATGGTCATTTTTTTTATACTTTATTTTTTTGTATTTGTTGTGATTTTGATGTTTTTTTTTTTTTTTTTACTGTATTGTGGCGGCTATGCCTCGCATGCTCTGTTCATGATGCTTCAAACTTCACCCAACAACAAGTGAGGAGATTAGATCTGATTGGACGATAATTCCTGACTCCCGAAAGCTCTTATCCAATCAGACCGCCAGACACGTCTCACCTGCGCTCCTCAGTCTTAGTAAAGCTGAATCTCTCTTGTCTTTGTCGATGTTTTAAAGATGCACTGGATCATCGTCTTCATCACCTTCATCCTCACCTTTTGCCAAATGTAGTTTTTGTTGTGAAACGGGGCATTTTATCCTGTTTTTCTTTGTGTTTGGTTCTTTTTTATACTTTGTCCATGACTCTTCCATTGTGTTGATGATGAAAAAATGAGGAAGAAGTTGGAACAAACTGTAAAAAGAGACACAAAAAGACCAACTCAAGGCAGCTACGTATGAGTGACTACTGTAAAATGACTAATAAAGAAGCAATGGGTTTGTTTTTACAGCCTGTTTCATCATTTCACCACAACAACAGCCACAACTCAAACTGGATTCACATATGTTTTAGATTTTACTGTGAGTTTGGAGAAACTGCAGATTTCGACCACTGAACCAACAACGTAAATCAGTTTTTAGGCGTGATTCTGCCGATTCACGTGAACTTCAAGCAGCTTTTTGATTATTCTTCGCTGTCAGACACTTAACACTTTAAGCTTTTTCAATGTAAATTAAGCAAACTGTTGATTTGAACAATTCATCAGCTTATTCTGACTCAAATCTTCTGCTCGTTTTCACATCTGCATAGTTTGTGTTATTAAGATAAATATCTTTAAATAATTTCAATTTTATTTCTGCTTCATTCTGAGGTTCTCCTGGTTTGGATTCACTGAACTAGGCTTTATTTAATTTCTTATTAAATTTCCCTCCTTACATTCAGACAAACCAGCAGGTCAGATGACTGAATTAGTCTGAGCTACATTAACATGATAACAGCTGATGTTTGGACCGTTTGGCGACAATCTGTCTCAGCTGTGACAATTTCTGATATAACTATGTTCAAATGAATCTAAGATATTTTAATTAACCCTATAAAACTGTCCAAGCATGTTAAAAAGCAGACCTTAAATCCTGAACTAAATTTGAAGAAAAACGCAGTTATCAAGCAAATTTCACTAAACTGCCTCACTAAACTCTACCTTGATTTCACTTCAGTATTTACTCACTGCATTCACACAATTCTGGACAGAGTTCACACACAAAACAATCAGGTCAGCCCCAGGTTTTACTTGAGTAAAAGTATCTTCAGCACAATGTAACTAAAGAGTAACCGTACTCAAAAAAACAGTGTGGATTAGTGGATTACTGACAATCCAAACATCAACAACCCCCCCCCCAAAAAAAGACAAAAAATGTTAAAATGTGCATTTTTTAAAAATCAAGATTCAAAAATAAACAACAACAACAACAACAACAAACAGTTCCAACTCACAGAAACATGAATGCAATAAAGAGTTCCACAAACTGAAGTAAACGCACCACAAAAATAAAAGTACTGAGTCGATCCGGAAGCATGCGCGCCCACGTGTACGCGTGCGAGACACAGCGCGCCAAGAGGAGGAAACGGGGCCGCGCGGGGAGAGGAGTGTCCTGTTGCGTTCAGGTATCACATTTCACTGTCGGACCTTCAAGATGCAAAGTCAGTTTTTGGTTCAAAATTAAAGTAAAAAAAAATGCATAAATATTGAAATCGTGTTTTTTTTTTCGTGTTTTTTTTTTTATTTTTTTTAAACAAGCCAACTTTAGAATTCATAAACGA